GGGTACAGTAAATGGTAAATAAAACACCAACCCAGTGCAGATACCCATTCACTTGGAGCTCCATCAACAATCCGGCCTTTCCAAACCACAGCATGCACAAAGCACACACACTCACTCAGGGGCACACAGAAACAGTCCCACACTTCAGAAGAACATTACACATCAGGACAGGTCAGCAGGGGTTTAGATACAGAGTAAAGCTCCCTCTATACTGTTCCCATCAAACGCTTCCAGGACAGGGACAGCACAGGGTTAGAGAGGGTGTTGTGTTTGGAGGAACTGAATACTTGGTGAAGAGGTTGTGAAGGTACAGAAAGATGGGAGAGAGTGCATAGGGATTGGGGCAGAGTTTGAAGGCAATTTGAGATGATGTTTTGGAGAGCAGAGAAGAGATGGGTGAAGGGAGTGGAAGATCTAACCCTGTGCTGTCCCTGTCCTGCAATTGTTTGATAGGGACAGTATAGATGGAGGGATGGAGGTGACCGGAACATAAAAGGGAAGAGACGGGTGGATAGAACAGAGGGGAGCTGAGGAGAATGGATTGCGGGGGGGGGACAAGGAGGAGACGTGGAGAACGGAGGGGGAGATGAGGAGAGTGGGAGAGATGGGGAGAGTGTGGAGGGGTGTTTAGGAGAGTGAAGGGGGAATCTGAGGGGAATTAAAAGGGGCCAGGGAGACTGGTGGGGTCTGAGGAGAAGACAGGATTGAGGAGAGTGTAGGGGGGTGCAGAGGACAGTTTTGGTTGGGGGGCGTGGCTGGGGCAAGGGTGAAATGGAGGGGATGTCAGAGTGAGTGGAAGGAAGTGGAGGAGTGCAAAGTATTGTGAAGAGCGAGGTAAGTGGCAGAGGGGTGTAGGGAAAGGGACAGAGGGATTCTGGGAGGAGGCAGAGGGGAGAGGGATTAGGGATGGGTGGGGGCTGATGGGTGTGAAAAAGGAAGCAGAGGGGAGGGAGAGGACATGGCAAAAGGGGCAAGAGGGGAGTGGAGGGTATAGGAAGGGCAGCTAAGAGGAGGGTGAACCCGAGGGTAAAGATGTTGGTGAATGGGCATTAGAGGATCACAGTCAGTCATCGCCTGCCTCCAGATTGAGTGGAAGGCTGCAATTAGGAACAATGGCAATTGGCCAACATCTGCAAAGCTGCATTGTATATCAGCTGGCAAGGCTAGAAACAGCAATTAGAGCTGCCTTGAATCCTGACAATATGAAGCCATTTTAACCTTAAGAATCTCGCTGAATTCGACCGCCCAACATCAACTCCCATGACAACTTACCCACTCCGTATCAATTTAGATTGCACACACAAACTTGTTCCCATGCACACACGCTCACTCTCGCGCCCAAACTCAAACACACCCACTAAACCTTTCACATAGACCAATGCATACTCACACGCCCGATGTGCTCAAATGTTCAGAACTGTCAGACACAGCCACTTATAACCGACTTTCACTCATTCACTCACATACTCCCTCACAACCAAACCCTCACACTCACACAGCCAAACCTATCCTTACGCACACATCCTTCCCTTTTACTTAGATAGGTGCATTGCTGTGATGACACAGTAGATTGACTGCAGTTTGCACTCGCATTGGTCTGTGTTGGATATTCTATGAGGATTATAGGTTGCAACCCCTTTGTAGTAGGCAGGAGGTGGTGATGAATTTCTGCAGCCAGCCAGATTTGAGAACAATGCTCCATAATCTCTCTGGAGTCCAGGGCCTTTGAGAAGTCAGAGAAGGTCCTGGATAGAGGCTACTGCACTTTTCTTGCAGACTTTTGCTGTGAAGACCATGTCAGTGTGCCCCTTGACAGACAGAATACACACTCTGATTCTGGAAGGAGTTACTCGGTCACTTGGAGGTGGTGATTGAGCAGGATTCTTGCAGTGATCTTTCCTGTGACGGAGAGCAGGAAGACCCCCTCCCTCACCCCACATAGTTATCAGGGTCTCAGGGAACTCCTGGAGTGTTCTCCTCCTGCTCAGTGAGGGAGGAGGGTTGTGTAATTGAGCCAGGGGCTCTCCTCCACTGTGTTTTGGTGCACATTCTGTCTGTCTGCTCCAGTGACCTTCTTGTTTTCCTCTCAATCACATACACACTCCTGTAAACACTCACACACAATAACAATTGTGTTCACAACAGCACTGACTCTCAGGCCCTTTTATTTGAAAGGGATAATTCAGAGAAGGTTCCTTTGATTCATTTCGGAATGCAGGGCTTTATCATATGTGGAGGTCAGGTCTGTTACCATGAGAGTTTAAATTAATGAGGGGTGATCTTAAGGAAACATTTATGTTTATGAGGAGAATATTTTGTCTTGGAAGGGAGACTAGAACACAGAGACACAGTTTATGAATTAAGATAGGGAGAGGAGACAGTCTTTCTGAGGGTCAGTGAAAGAACAAAGAACAGTACAGCACAGGAATAGGTCTGGGAGAGGGAAAGCTGACGTTTCGGGTCGGGACCCTTCTTCAGACATTTCTGAAAAAGGGTTCCGACCTGAAACATCAGCTTTCCTGTTCCTCTGATGCTGCGTGGCCTGCTGTGTTCCTCCAGCTCCACACTGTGTTACCTCTGACTCCAGCATCGGCAGTTCTTACTATCACTGTGTTGATACACGATGCCTTTTGGTCTAGGTGGTTCGTATCCCTCTATTCCCTGCTTATTCGTGTATGTCATGATGTCTCTTAAACGTTGCTATTGTTTCCACCTCCACTACCATTCTATCCATGCCTCTCAAAATTTTGTGAATTTCTATCAGCCCACTCCTCAGCTGCTAACCTTTAAGTGAAAATAAAACGAGTTTGTCCAATCTCTCTTCACTTTCAAATCAGGCAACATCCTGGTAAACCGTTTCTGTACCCTCTCCAAAGCCTCCACATCCTTTCAGTAGTGTAGCAACCAGAACTGTACACAATATTCCAAACGCGACCAAACTAAAGTTCTATACATCTGCAACATGACTTGCCACTTTTTATACTTAATGCCCCAACCGATGAAGGCAAGCAAGCTATACACCTTCTTGACCATCTTATTTACTTGCGATGCCACTTTCAAGGAGCTATGAACCTGTACACCTAAATCTCTCTGTATGTTTATGCTACTAAAGGTTCTGTCATTTACTGCATACTTCCCTCCAGCATGAGATCTTCCAAAATGCATCACTTTACATTTGTCTAGATTAAATTCCATCCGCCATTTCTCCAACCAAGTTTTCAACCTATCTATATCCTGCTGTACCCTCTGGCAAATCTCGTCACCATCCTCAACTCCCCAACTCTGTGTGTTGTCCACAAGTTTACTAGTAAGACCGCGTGCATTCTCCTCCAAATCATTACAAACAATAGGGGTCCCAGCACTGATACCAAAGGCAAACCACTGGGCACAGATCGCCGGTGAGAAAACCGCCCTTACACTGTTATTCCCCTCTTGCATGACCAAGCCAGTTTTGTATCCAACTTACTAGCTTACCACAGATCCCACGTGATTTAATCTTCTGGACCAGCCTACCATGAGGGACCTTGTCAAATGTTTTAGTAAGTCCATGTAGACAACATCCACTGCCCTACCCTCATCAAACGTCTTCATCGCTTCCTTCAAAAAAAACTGATATTTATGACACATGACCTTCCCTGCACAAAGCCACGCTGACTATCACTAATAAGTCCATATATTTCCAAATGTGAGTAAATCCTGTCCTAAGAATCTTCTCCGATAATTTTCCTACCACCTAAGGCTCACCAGCCTGTAATTTCCCAGATTATCCCTGTTGCCCTTCTCAAACAAAGGATCAAAATTGGCTGTTCTCCAGAACTTTGGGACCTCTCCTGTAACTAAAGAGAGGATACAAAGGTTTTGTGTAAGGCCCCAGCAATTTCCTCCCTCACTCCCTCAGTATTCTGGGGTAGATCCCATCAGGTCCCGGGGACTTGTCTATCTTAATGCTTTTCAAAACACCCAACACCTTTTTTTGTACCAACTATGTGGAATTCACTTTTACGGAAGGCAGTGAAGGCTGGATCTATAAACTTATACCAGGTTGAATTGGACAGATATCAGATGCAGGGACTATGGAGTCAGTACAGTGTGGAGCTGGAGGAACACAGCAGATCAGGCAGCAGAGGAGCGGGAGAGTCAGGGCCCTTCATCAGTTCCTGATGAAGATCCCGACCTGATATGTCGACTTTCCCGCTCCTCTGATGCTGCCTGACCTGCTGTGTTCCTCCAGCTCTACATTGTACTGACTCTGACTTCCAGCATCTGCAGTACTTGCTTTCTTCTAGACAAATGAATGTTGTCATCAGAATCAGATAAGCAGTCACCTTATTGACTACAGAATGGAATCAAAAGGCCCAGTCACCTATTGCTGCTCCTATGGTCAAGCCCCGAGTACACTGTCCACATCAAACACTCCCAGGACAGGGACAGCACGGGGTTAGATACAGAGTAAAGTTTCCTCTACGCTGTCCCCATCAAATGCTCCTAGTACAGGGACAGCATGGATTTGTACTTTGGCTCATTTCATCTGGGCTATGCCAGTGTTTATTGACCACCCCTAACTGCCCTGAAGAACATAAGGGTGAGGTGCCTTCTTATTAGAGAAGGACTTTGACCCAGCAACAGTGAAGGAATAGCGATATACTTCCAAGTTAGCTGAGTGGCTTGGAGGGGAACTTGCAGTGGCTGGCATTTCCGTGTGTCTGCTCGTCCTTCTGGACTGGGTGGCCGCGAGGCTTTGAAAGGTAATATTGAAGGGTTATTATTGTTAGTAATGATGAGAGTCCATGGTCACTAGTAATTGGGTTAGGATTGCTCAGCTTAGCTCACACTGGGCCCTGTCAGGCAGCTCATTCTCTGGATTGGAATTGGAGGCTCCACAATGAAGTGGTTGCGTTCTCCCTTGTCTCATCTGGTGTGGTACCCAATCTGATGGTATCATTCAGAGCCCACTCTCATCTCTACACCCACAGTTATACCCACTTCCTCCTCACTTTTACCTTTGATACTTGCTTGTTTAACTCTAGGTTGGCTCTCCTCATATGCCTTTGAGCCCTGGCTTTTTGTATTGGCTGTGGCATCAGATGGCGTTGGCAGTCTCTTGGCAATTTTGACAGAACGCTGGCTGGAGAGTGTCAGTTTCCTCAGTAACACCGACTGTGCCTGCTTCACACTGTAAAGGAAAGGAACGGAATTTAACCACAGGAATCACCGATACTACAGACAACATGGGAAACTGCTGAAGCAAAGAGAGGGAATGGAAGGAGGGGATAATTGGGAAAAAAGGAAAAGGGGAGAAAAGGACAAGAGAGGTGAGAGAAGGATGAGTATAAAGAGTTGGCAAGAAGAAGGGGAGCAGGCAGAGGTCAAATAGACACAGGGAAAATTTATTGGTTGAAGGCCCAATCATTCCTCCTGTTAGTCCAATCATTGTCTAGACATATGGCCAAAACAAACGATTCACTTCATTGGTATTGCCCAGCCTATGTATCTCCACATCCATTCCAGTACGTACACATTAAATATTGCCAAAAGAGACAGTTACCTCTTACAAGCCCCAAAGCTAGTTAGTTCAGGTTGCCTGGAGACAGGAAACTCTCAATCTGCACAACCACTTACTCTGTTTACATTCAATTTTCAGACGTAATATTCAGACAGTTCCTGGCTCGACTTTGCTCTCCCCACAATACAGACAGAGTCTTTTCCTGCCAGAATGAACAAAGGCACAAATCAAGGACGTTTGGCAGTAGTTTCAGACTGAAACAAACCGATTAGATTTACGCTTCGTGGGGACAAGAAACCCATCCCACACTGGTGCATAAACAGAAGCAGCCCACAGATCACTGATAAAAACATTTCTGCAGGAAATGTACCACGTGAATTGTGAAAGTGATCTGTACATCACAGCAAGAGCACCTTCTGCAGGGAAAATCACATTAGTATAAAAGTTCTATTTGGGTTCTGAGGGCCTCACAGCACCTGACCCCCTGGTTCAAACATGGACAAAAGGAATTAAACTCCAGAGGTGAAGTGAAAGTGACAGCCCTTGACATCAAGACTGCATTTGACTAAGTGTACTATAAAGGACCCCTAGCAAAACTGGGATCAATGAGTATCGGGGGCAAACTCTCTGCTGGTTGGAGTCATACCTGGCACATAGGAAGATGGTTGTGGCTGTTGGAGGTCTGTCATCTCAGCTCCAGGACATCTCTGCAGGAGTTCCTCAGGGTAGTGTCCTAGGTCCTGCTTCAGAAATGCCCTTCCCTCCATCACAAGGTCAGAAGTGGGGATGTTCACTGATGTTCGCACAATGTTCAGCACTATTTGCAACTCTTCAGACAGCAGTCCATGTTCAAATGTAACAAGATGAGGACAATATCCAGGTTTGGCCTGGCAATTGGCAAGTACGGTTTATGTCACATAAATGCCAGGCAATGGCCATCTCCAACAAGGGAGAATCTGACCATCACTCCTCAACATTATTGTCACAGAGTTCCTCCTTTATGGGAATCTAAGATTTGGATTTGTTGAGCAGCAGATCACATCAAACATTTGATACACCACAGAGAAGTGTAACAATCACAACAACCGTCATTTACCTGACACAAGAGAAATGTCCACATTGTGTGTGGCATAGAGGAATTTTAACCATGAGGCCCTTTGGGGGACCCCTGTGTTCTTTGAGTATTTTCCTGTCAATTAAAATTTCAGATTGAAGTAGTCAAAATGACCTTGTGTTCCTTCTCATTTGGAGGTTACAATTCTAGAGAGAAACTGAAGCCTCTGGGACAATTTCTCCTGTCCCCAAATCAGGAACATGTGTCTCAGGATTGGAGTGGGAGGATCACAGTGAAGTCCAGTCATATCCTCATCCTTTAGTTTTCCAACTGAAGTCAATGCATTGAGGACCATGCAGAATTTCTTCAGTCAGACACTGGAGTTCTAGACTGTCCCAGGCTTATAGAATACAGAACATTACAGCACAGGAATGGGCCCTTCGGCCCATGGTGTTGTGCTGAACATGGTGCCAAATTAAACTAATCCCTTCTGCCTGCCATTGGTCCATATACCTCCATTTCTTGCAATTTCATGTGCTTATCTAAAAGTCCCTTAAATGTCCTTATTGTATCTGCCACCACTACACTCCTGCCACTCTCTGTGTAAATAACTGCCCCTCACATTCCATTTGAACTTTTTCCCTCGAACCTGAAACAAATGCCCCCTTCTGTTAAACATTTCACCTCTGGGAAAAAGATTCTGACCATCAGCTCTATCTATGCATGTCAAAATTTTATAGACTTCTATCAAGTCTCCCCTCAGTCTCCGCCGCTCCAGAGAAAACAACCCGAGTTTTCCTAGCCTCTCCTTATCGTTCATACCCTCTAATCCAGGCAGCATCCTGGTAAACCTCTTCAAAGTCTCTACATCCTTCCTATAATGTGGTGGCCAGAATTGAACACAGTACTCTAAGTGCGGCCTAACCAAAGTCTTACAAACCTGCAACATGAGATCCTGACTCTTGTACTCAATTCCCTGACCAATAAAAGCAAGCATGCCATATAACAAGGTGTAGAGCTGGATGAGCACAGCGGGCCAGGCAGCATCAGAG